ATTATAAAACAAAGTTTGCTTCTGTCCTACTGTCTGAGAACGTCAGTAATCAAAAGCTTATGAACGCAACCTATTCTGCAAAACATTTGGCTGGATGGATGTTAGTCTTGAACAGGAGGCAGGAGAAAGAGTTGAAGCCTTCTGTTGTTGTTGTGTGCCTTCAAGTCATTTACCAATCATGGTTTTGTTTTTTTGCTTTTTTTGCAAGATTTCTTCAGAAGAGGTTTCCCATTAGCAAACCTCTTCTGAACAAATCAGCGTGTGACTTGCCCAAGGTCACCAAGTTGGTTTCCATGGCTGAGCAGGGATTCAAATCCTGGTCTCCAGAGTCCTAGCCCAACACACAACCCAATACACCACACTCTCTCTGGTGCCCTTCAAGTCATCTCTTTATCGTTTTAATACCCATCACGAATGAAACTAATGAGAACCCGAGACATCAGGATCATAGGGAACAAAACCCCATTCCTATTAAGCAAAACTTTGAAACTGTGAGAACGCTTGCATAAAACTAAATGGCATCTCTCTCTCCCTTGACATCCGAATACCTAAAAAAAATAGATGACCAATTTCAGTGTCTCATTTACAAACATTTGCCTCTGAAATAGAAGGAATGAAAAGTTTCATCTGGTCAAAGAACAGCTGGATGGTTTATAAACCCACATTTCACAACAGGCGGCTGGGGCAACAAGAGAAAATGACTAGTGGATTAGCAACTTCATTGTAACATGATCTGACTATGATGACTAATAACCTCATGAGCTGAGATCTTCCAACATTTTGTAATATTTATATAATTTGCTAACCAAATTGATTTAATATCAGGTTAGCAGATCTAACTGAAACAAATCAAAACTCTCTTTCCTAGCCAGCACTTTTTATGTAACCAAAATCATGCATTTTGCTGCTTTGTCTGCATAACTAGGCACTATAATGTTCTTTTCTTCAGAAGACTCCAATCCAAACAATATTTAGTAGAAAACAAGTCATACCAAATTCAGTAAAACATACTTTCAAGTAAATATACTTATGATTGAATCACAAGAAAATCTTAACACTATCACTACAAGCTTTGGTAATGATGGTTTGAGCCACAGATCGGCAAACAGGCAGTCTCCAAGTTACAAACAAGCTAGGTTCTGTAGGCTGGCTCTTAAGTTAAATTTGTATGTAAGTCAGAACAGCCACACTTTTAAAGTGTAACCCCAGCCTCATATATAGGTGTGTGTGTGTGTGCGTGTGCGTACGTGCGTGTGCGTCCACATGCGCACATACTTTGGGTCGCATATCGAAGGGTTAATGTGGTGTTTGTTTTGCTGCCCCTGTTCAGAAGACTGCCTGTCTCTGTGATAACTGAATTTTGAAAAAAAATGGCTTGTTATGGAAATAAGGATGGGTGCTAATGCTTCAGTGGAGACACCTTTTGTCCATAATGACTTTTCCAGGAGAGTATTTTCTTCTGAGGGGTAGATTTCTCTCACTTCCTGCTGTTTCACCCCTGTTCTTAACTATGAGTCATTTCTAAGTCGGATGTTTGTAACTTGGAGACTGGTTGTACATTAAGAAGCCTTGCTGGGGACTTACTTGACCTCAGTTGTTTCCTGTCCTGCTTGGGCCCTCAGTAGCACTGGAATTCAGTTCCAAAATCCAGGGATTCTCAAGACCCATTATGAACCATGGTGCAGTAAAATGGCATTCCTTATATAAAAATAATGAACAACTCAAAAGAGTGCCAGAAAAAGTGTGAGGATCAGTGAAATAGTGGAAGATTACAGCAGTCTTTTACTATACATCAGCATTGTGCCTGGTGCATGGAAAAACCAAGGATTGATTTTGGAAATTTTGTTCAAATATGGTTGGTTGGATCTGTGGATGCAGGCCCTGTGGCTACAGAGGGCCAACTCTGTGTCCTTCCCTACTTCTCCTACCATTGGTTACTATTTGTGATGTTTTAATATGTAATAAAGCTGTGGTCTTCACATTCAACCCATAGTTCAGCACCCAGCCTTGTGTTTCAGAGGAAAGAATCAAGAACAGCAGAACTACATTTGCCTTTCAGTTGCTGGCATGAGAAGACTTCAGTTTGGAAGGATTCCCATTCTCTTTGCTCCCACGTTCACACCAGAAATACAGATTAATAATGGCTGTGAACCTGGAGGATAAAATTAGCTATCATTCCCCCTAGTAGTGAGCCCAGCTGGTTGAACACCAACAGGTTCAGACCCACTGGAAAATGAAAGAGTAGTATTAGAATAATTAATAGGAAACTTCAATGTATGTGAAAATAGAAAACATAAAAGCCAAAACTGGGAGAGGAGGAGAGGGGGGAGCCTGCTGAACATGCTGAGTGAGTTCTAAGAGCCAAGGAATGCTGAACCTTAGCTAGAAAAGAAAAACAAAAAACAGGAGTTAAATTGCCCTGTGTGCCTGCATGCTGTTTACAGAATCCTAGAGAAGGGTATGCTTAGCTGGAACTCTGAACTGAATACACTGCAATACTTTACTGCAGCTTAACTCCCACAGCTACTAAAAACTGATAAGAGCTGTACCTCTCAGTACAACTGAGTAGTTCTCAGTTTCAGTTCTTCAAGAGAAAGAGGTGAAATAATACCTATACCTTATTTCTCTCAACATGCACAATTGGATAAATCTCTACAATGTCCCTTATTAGTTTAATTAAACTAGAGAGCTCCAAACACCTTAAACCATGCATGGGCAAACTTTGGTCCTCCAGGTATTTTGGACTTCAACTGGTAAGCTGTCTGGGAGTTAACATCCAAAACACCTGGAGGGGTTGAAATTTGCCCATGGCTGCTCTAAACTATCCTCAGAAGAAAAATGTTTTTACTTCTGGGTCACTTTGTTTGATATATATGGCCACAATATTTCTTATTTCTCTGTATGGTTGGATAGTGAAGGATGCTGATAGGAAGAACGCCAACTCATTTGAATTGTAATACTGTGGGTACCATGAGCTGACAAAAAGTCAGCTCCAACAGCAAATTAAGCCTGTACTCTCCCTAAATTTCAAGATAAACTAAGACTATTATATTTTGGCTATACCATAAGAAGACATGACATATTAGAAAAGACCATGATAAGGTAGAGGAAAGGATGAAAAGTGTAAGATAATTATTACAGATGGGTAATAATTTCATATTTCAAACTGCAGCTTAGAAAGGGGCATTTCAAATCCACCTGAGAGATTTAAGACCTCACCAAACTAAAACCCCCAGAATCCCATAGGATTTAGGCATGGGGTTAAAGCAAAGTCTATTACTCCTTTCCACCGAATTCCGAGGAAACCACCCATATCCTGAAACTGACAGCCATGATGGACTGGATGAGGACTAACAAACTGAATCTTAATCAGACAAGACAGAGTTCCTCCTGGTCAGTTGTGAGGCTGATCAGAGTATTAGGTGGCAACCTGTGCTTGATAGGGTTACATTCCCCGAGGACACAAGTCCGCAGTTTGGGGGTCCTCCTGGATTCACTACTGACACTTGATGTCGGCGGTGGCTGGGAGGGCCTATGAACAGTTAAAGCTTGTGCACCAGCTGCGACCGTAACTCAAGAAGTCGGACTTGGCCACAGTGGTCCATACCTTGGTTACATTCAGATTGGATCATTGCAATGCACTCTATGTGGGGTTGCCTTTGAAGACAGCCCAGAAACTGCAATTGGTACAAAGGTCTTCAGCCAGGCTTCTAACCGAAGCTATAGGGAACGCACGATGCCCCACTGGCTGCCAATCTTGGTGATCGCATTTCCTCCTATGAACTAATCCACCTGAGAGAAAGGAAATTAAAGACTTGGTTGTTCAAGAAGGCGTTCGAACAAGAAGTTGGTAATGACTATAGGAATGGAACAACGGAAAATGATACTGGATTGTGGTTTGGACGATGAGACGACGCTGAATAGCTTTCGTAGTAATGACGATGTTTTTTTGTATAATGCTGGATTGTGAATTATTTTATACTGTGTCTTGAATTTTGTTCTTCCTATGTTGTACACTGCTGTGAGTCGCCCCCGGGCTGAGAACAGCGGTATATAAGCAAAGTAAATAAATAAATAAATAAATAAATAAACTAGTGCGGGCTCTAAGATCTGCTGGGGAGGTCCTCCTTTCGTTTTCACCACCGTCAGAAGCATGGTTGATGGTGATGAGGGAGAGGACCTTCTCGTTAGTGTCCCCCCGACTTTGGAACTCCCTCCCCAGGAAGATCAGGCAGGCCCCATTCTGTCCTTTTGTAAGGACTTGAAAACCTGGATGTTCCAGCAGGTTTTTGAGAATGATTAGTCCCTAGGCCCAGTTCCCAGGTAATCAGATAATACTCTGTCCTCACCTTCTGTCCACACTGCCGGCCCTATGATTTGCTATTTGCACTATTCCATGCTCAGCCCTTTTATAGCTGGCCCACATCCATTTAGTAACCCTGGCCATTCGTTTTGTTGAACCTCCACTGATTGAGTTACAATGAAATGGGTTTTAAATATTTTATCTTTCATGTGTTTTAGCAGATTTTTTTGTATTTTTATGATGTTTTTAGTTTTTGTTATTTTGTCTATTAAGTCTATTAGGCTGTGATGTATTATCAAATGTATTATTTTGATGTAATTGTCTGTATGGTTTCTTTCCAGTATTTAAATGTTTGCCTTACATGTTGGAAACTGCCCTGAGTCCCTCTGGGGGGAGAGGATGGTATACAAATAAAGATGATGATGATGATGATTCTTATTATTATTATGGTGCTATAATTTTATTGTGCAAAAGAGCCCTCAGTCAAGAAAGCCACAACCCTGACTTTACAAGACCTGAGCAAGACTGTTGCAAACAGGGTAGCTCCATGGTCTTTCAGTCATAGAGGCGCCATAAATCACAGTTTGTATTCTCAAGTGATCCCACATATTTGTAATTAAAATCTTTAAAGTCTATGTATTAATCTGTTCAACAAATATGGCTTTTCTGTAACAAAATAAGAAATGGGCAGGAATACCTGAGAAAGTATGAGTTGTCCATGAAAACGCCATACAAACTTTCTTAAAAAGGCAAAATACTCAGCTTCTCCAGCTTTTCCTGCCAAAAACCGCAGAAGGAAGTAGCCCTGGAATAAGCATCCAAGACAAACAAGAGATTATTTTATGATTTATGTACTCATTGACTTAATAGGTTTTTAGTTTATCTTTTGGGGTATCTGCCTATACAGGACAGTTAACAGCACGATCAGTGATAAACTACTATATACTAAAAAACTGTACATGGAAAAAAGAAAACAACAATAACAAAAAGGGAGCAGTGTTAAAATTAACAGCAACACGGAAAACAAATTATTTAGTTAGGATACTCAAATGCCATGTGGAATAAAAATGGGATTTGTATATTTTCTTGGGGTAGGTTCTCTATAGAAACCTACTCCTGACACAGACTAATCTAATAATTCCTAGTGGCATATAAGAAAGAATGTGCTTAACTCAGAAATCTAGAAGTTTCAGATAGGTGAAAATTATCACAGTATCTTTCAATTATCTGCCTCCAATCCATTCAGGGTTTTAAGGTTAATATCAGGACTATACATCTCCTGAGAAAAATACTGCTTTACAATATGAAGAACATAAACTTCAGCATTCGGACCTTCAGATAATGAACCTGCATGAAGGTTTTCTCCGCATTCAGGCCGTGCTTAATTACAGATGCTCCAGATTCCGTCACTTTGCCAGTGTTGTCTTTGTTAGGCCTAAAAGGGCACAAACAATTCACATTTGAAAATCTGGACAAAGGCATATATCAATATTTTTCTTTTTTTAAAAAAACTCACTGTGCAAGGATCTAATAAAGATGATAGAATGAGACTATTTTTGAAAGGTTTAATACTTCAGGTAAGTTTGTTCATGGGAAAGAATATTACAGTTGTGCAGTTTTGTAATGTAACTTTATATATGGCTGTACAAACAGCTGTAGTTAAACTAGTAGCCAACTTTAAGCTAGTGTGAAGCTACTTAACTCTTCTCCCAGACATGACATCATATCACATGGCATTTCGCTAAGACATGCTACACAGGCCAGTATGTCACATGAGTGGAAAAGGGAAATGAGAAGAGATGGAGACTCGATAGATGAAGGGAAAAAAGAAAGGAGGGCTAGAACTCTAGATTTTGACTGCTCTTACCTGAACGCAGACCTGGCAGAGTATAACTGGAAAAATGAATAGACTCTTTTCATCTATGCCCTATATGCCTGAAAATGGGGTTCTGCTTTCTTTTCCCTTAAGTTCCCAATTTTATAAGAATGCGAAAGAAAACATTCCCATATCTGAAAACAAAAAGCCTGATATACTCAGCCTTCCAAATAAAATCAAGGAAGAAAACACATTGTCCAGTTACCCAAACTCTGAAAAATGTTTAAATCAAAGATTTGTGAGTGTGCGTGATGTAGTAAAAACTTGCAACCTTATTTTCTTTCTGTTCAAGTGGAGTCTTTTTTCCGCACAAAAATAGCTATGGGGGATTTTTGAATCAGCTCTTTTCCAGTCTTCATGCTATGAAAACCTAATGCTGTTTGATTCAAATTCTGCCTGATATTTCACTTTTAGAAGTTTGAAATGTGAGCTCTAGTTGTGCTTACACATTAGCAATTATGCTTTTCTATCGGCACCATCATACCAGGTAATATGGGCCTTCAAGTTATCTGCTGACTTATGATGGTTCCATTAATTTATTTTATAGATAGATAGATAGATAGATAGATAGATAGATAGATAGATAGATAGATAGATAGGGTAAGAAAAAGGATAAGATGGAAAAGAAAAAAAATTATACATGTAATGTGGGAGAACAATAATATACAAAGAGAGTAAGAAAACAAGAGTGATATGAAAGTAACACACAAGCTATACTACAGAAAAGCTAAAAAAAAGAGAGAAGGAAAAAAAGATAATTTTTTTAAAAATAAAATAAAATAAAAATCCTGGTGACTTCCTTCCAATCCTTTGCAGTTTCAAAATTATTTATTATATAATGTTCTGTATTACCCTGATTTTAGCATAATAAAACTTCCTTCTTTTTATATTCCCTTAATAAAAGTTCTATTTATGATTCTTTAATTTTCTCATTTCTTCATATTTGTCCATCAGTAACCAGCCTGTCTGTTTAATCAGGTTTTTTTCTTTAGTAGAAAAGGGTTTTTTTAAGGCAAAGAATACTTAGAGATGGTTTTGCCAGTTCCTTTCTTGTAAATAACCACTCTAGCACACTGAGCACACCCAATCATATCATAAACATATCTTTAGAAGTAAAGTTGACCCTGGTACTTAGATGGGATACCTCCAACAAATATCGGAAATTTTCAGGAAGGACCAGGAAAGAAACTTTGGATTCCTGGTACTAATCAGAGTTGACAATACTAGACCAGAAGGACCATCATTCAGATTCAGAATAAGAGCTCCCCATGTTGTTATGTTTCTATGCACAGCCATAAGAAGCTGCTATTGAATATTTCACAAGATGCAAACAAGTAAAGATAATGTGTCTTCATTTTTTTACTTTAAAGACCTCTGTTGTATGAACAGCTTTTGAAACTCTCATGAACCCAACAAGTAATTTTCATCCATTTTTATATTGCCTAAAATAACAATATGGACCAGAACTTCTCTGTCACATCAAAACTGTACCTGGTATCTGACTTGTGTGAGGTCCAAGGCACTGGTTTCATCCACCTTCCTCTCAAATGGACCTGAATACATTCTAACCATGCTTCCTTTTCTTGAAAATGTTTTTTGGTAAGAGGAAACAACCCAGAACGACAGCGTGAATTCTAAAGTCATAGATGATCTGGTGGCTCAACTAATTCAACATCATATGGCATATGCTAGTCCAAGAATATCTCTGCCATTTTCAATCTAATATAGATGTGTGGAGAAGCAAGTAAAACAAATTGTGAGCTAAGAAAGAGTGTTTCTAGTGGAGCCTTTAGAATGCCCTTTCCAGGAAGGTTCATCTTACACCTAATGTGTTTCCAGTACCAAGACCATTTAATTTGCTCAGGCTAGACTTGCTATTTTTAGGTTTGTGATTTTAGCATGGAGTGACACTGGCTCACTATATTTTGCATTATGCACCTCTCCTTTTTTAAATTTCTCCTTATTGTTAACTGCTGTGACGACTGGGAGTCAAATACTTGGAAATAAATAAATGTCACATTTTATTTTATTGTATACCTAAAGGTACATCTTTTTCTTAAAAATCTGTTGTAGAATTAATGCACCGTAAGACTGATGTGATTTCCTCAGCAATTACGTTAGGGAAAAGCAAATGTCCAGATAAGGTTCCTATCGCAGCGAGCCATGTTCACTATCAAATATATATGTATATTTTATGGGAACAAAGACAATAACAACTCAACCATCTTGGCAATCAGCATCTGTGTTCACTGTGCTACAGCTGTATGGCAGCTCACGATAAAGGCTGACACTTCCATCGGCACCTATTGTCAAGCGACACACACGCAAATGCATGGCTTGTCTGACCTTGCATACACAATTAACATGAACCAAAATGAATGAATAGCGCTTGTAAGAAGACCAAAACTATGTGAGTATATGATGCAGAGGAGAAGCTCAAAGGATGGGACTTTCACAAAATTTGCTTGATGATCTAGGGTTAGCCAAAATCTCTCAGTCTAACCAACCCAAATGAGTCTGTGTTTTTGTTGTTATAAACAAAACAAGTTGAGACCATTTGATTTTGATTCTGAAAGTTAAGTTGAGTGAAATGTGGTTATGTCCAGTTTTTGGATGGGAGACCACACAACAATACCAGGGAACTTCTTATAGCTTCACTTAAAAATCTGGAGAACACATGCTACCAGTCAAAGGGAATGATACCGTGCTAGGTGACTGGATGTTTGTTTCATCATAAGGAAGTTTTTCCATTGTGTTAAACTCTTTAGAGGAAGGGCAGGATACAAATATAAAGAAAAATAAAAAATGGGAAATGGGTCTTAGCCTCTGGGTCCTGGGCCCAAAAATTCTTCAATATCCAACCTAGCTTTGTCACTGAAAGGGGGGGGGGTCTCTCGTGAGCTCTCTGGCATCTTCTTTGTGAAGTTGATGCTCATCATATGACATACAAGAATTTCCCCTGATTTTTTTATATGCTGGGATACTTCAGCAAGCTCTATACAATGCGGAATAAGGAATACAACAACGGGAAATAATTACTTGAATATATAACTCTGCTATTCACCTAGATTTCCCCCACACAATTCCCTCCCTGGATTTAGAGATTCAGGTTGCCAATCTGCGCATAGGAGCACCCATGAATATATGGACAACATTATACGCTAGTCTTATTAAATTCCATGCATAGCTGTGCTCAGGATTGGAGAGCTGGAGACATTTTATGTAACAATAAAACACAAGGAAATCTAACAATGGAATAACCATTCTGCTCTACAACTTCATACATAGCAGTTCATAGTTAATGCTTTGTCTGCAAACACAGATAGACTGTAGTACCAAATCTAGCTTCAAGTCTGCACTTAATTGTAAAATAATGAAAACAATGTGTTTTAACATGCTTAGGCCAACCAAAGAAATTCACATATAAGAAAGGAACTTTAAACAACCCAAAATGGAAAAAAACATGATTAAAACCAACCAGGGAATTTCCTTGCTGAAATGTGGTTTAAATCAGCCCTCATGCTTAAGTATTCTCAATTGGTATGTCTCAACTGGTGGTATGGAATAAATGCGACATGGCACACTCTATAAGATGCAGGAAGCAGATAAAGCTCTGGTTAAATAGGGCATGGAGTTGCATAAGGTAGGCTGAGATTAATCCAATCAGAAAAGCTTTTATCAATTTAAGACTCTGGGTGTTCACAGACTTGGCACTATATATGATTTTTTATGTATAATAAAGAGGACAAGTGAAACAGAAGATGGCATTGTCTGGACCAATATCTCTCCACAATGAGTGATGGTAAATGCACTGTTTGGATATGGGTGTCTACTTATGGAGACTCCCATGGATTTCATAAGGTTTTCTTAGGCAAGGAATACTCAGATGTAGTTTTGCCAGTCTCTTCCTCTGAAATATAAACCACAGCACCTGATATCGAATGTTCGTTTCCATCAAGAACTAACCTTACTTAGCTTCCAAGATCAGGCATGATCCGATGTTTTTAGAGTAGCAGTTCTCAAACTGTGCTTTGGAGAACCCTTGGGGTTCCATGAGAGGTGCTCAGGGGCTCCCTGTGCTCCCCACTTCCTCTGGGGTTTCTGCTATTATTGTTGTTATAATTACAAAGGCTGGATGGTCATCTGTTGGGGTGGTTTGATTGTGTTTCCTGCATGGCAGAACGGAGTTGGGTTGGGTGGCCTGAGAGGTCTTCCACTGAAATACTGTTAAGTTTATGTTAGCTAAAATTGTTCTTCAGATAGATAGATAGATAGATAGATAGATAGATAGATAGATAGATAGATAGATAGATAGATAGCACAAACACTCTCCATCTATCTGCCACTGGCCTGGCTCATGCCTGATATATAATTATATATAATATAATATATAAACATTTATGGGGCTCCACAAGAGACCTTTGCTTCAAAAAGGGATCCAGGACTGAAAAAAAATGAGATCTCCTGTTTTAGAGTATTTATGCCCATTTCATCAGTAGCTTCCCCTTTTAATTAATTTTTTGTTGCTGTTATAACAAAAAATGGTGTACATGTCAACACCACTGAAGTAAATGGAAACAGAGATATGTCATCCTTTTTTTTTAGATGAATAACACTTTCTAATTACTTCTTCAGAATATTTAGAGGGATTTGCATTAGACTTTTTTTTGCCTCTTATGATATTCTCTCACCAATTAAATAGATTTTAAAGTAACTGAAGTAATAAAATGGTGATAAATTAGAACAAGCAATGAAATGAATAACTATTTTTAATAATGGTAATGAAATACTTTTGAAGACTATATTGAATAGCAATAATGAATCACTTAAATTAACGTTTCAGGCCTTAAAGGATGGGAGGATAAATGCCTTGTCTGAGAATACTGTTTATCTTTTCTTTTCTTTTTAAAGAAAGATTTAAGTTGCTTAATACGTACAGTTCCATCCTATGCATGTTTAATCAGAAATTAAAATTAATTAAATGGCGCATACAGGAGAATGGACAGCCTTAGCTCTTTTTCCCCATCTTCTCCTCCCCATTCATAAAACATCTCATCTGACTCAAACTTGGTTTCAGCCTTCTCTTTGTACATCTCCTTAGCAAACCCTCTGAAAGACACAGCAATTAAATCAGGTGATTTGGACATACTTTTTCTGAACTTGACAATGGACTAGGTTGGGTAACAATAAGGATAGCAAAAAATAAATAGTCCAAACTTTACCGTAACACTTGCAGATCTTCCTCAGAGTTTTGAACCTCATCTCTAAGACGCTGCCAGCGCAACAAAGCCTTCAGATCCTGCTGTTCTCTTGCTTCATCAGCCAGCAGCTGCTTGGGACAAATGGGCAGTTTACTGTTAGCAGTTCACACTGCTTTTTCATAACTTCTTAATGGGGAAAATGCCAGTAGTTGCCTTTTATGCCAAACTAGAGCGGCAGAAGATGGCTTCATCTTCTCTCCTGGCATTTGGTACATCTCCTACGTCTGATGAGCTTGTATTATCTTTATGGAATACACCAGTCAGCAAGAACAGCACTATATGATGTTAATAACTATGCCTGTATATATCTATATATATTGAGAAAGAGAGAGAGAGAGTGGGGATAGAATGGCATAGTCTAATAAAACTATTACAATTGAAACACTTCACGCGCTGAAGTAATATTACTTTAAACATTGTTCAACGGCAAGTCCCAACAGCCTAGTCAATTGTGACAATGGTAGCGCTGCAGTCTGCCATCATCTGAACAATTATATGAGACCACCTTAGTTCCAGTGGCAACCCTGTGTACCTAATAAAGTGCTATCCCATGGGAATTGCTTGGCTTCCGGACACTCTTGAAGATCTCCCTTATGCAACTTTTCAATGGCATGGGGAATGGGACTTACATCTTTAAAAATGAAGTTGAATGTCAAGGTCAAAAAGGCACAGAAAAAAAAACGGTGTCCATGTAGAATGGGAACACCCTCCTGTTGGACGAAAAGTTCTCAAAGTCTTAACCAGCATATCATATAGCGTGGAATGCCTTTAGTAGCACTACAAGACCTAGAAGTTTGTATGATTCCTACCTCAAAGTTCATTTGTTTTTCTTCTACTTTTGCTCCACTCAAGATAGTGATTAAAGCAGGGGTCCTCAAGCTAAGACCTGTGGGCTAGATGCAAACTTCAGACTTAAGGTCACCCTAAGTCTGAAACAACTTGAAGGTACCCAACAACAATCATCGTAATTAACTTGACTATCTCATCAGCCAAAAGCAGACCCACACTTCCCATTAAGTTTATGATAAGTTTATGTTGGTTAAAGTTGTTCCTCATTTTAAATATTGTATTGTTCTTTCATGAGTTTTTTTTTTGCACGACAAATAAGATATGTGCAATGTACATAGGATTTCGTTCATTTTTTTTTTCAAACTATGGCCCCCTGTCACAATCTGATGGATTGTGAACTGGCCCTCTGTTTAAAGAGTTTGAAGATGCCTGGATTAAAGCGTCAGGCTTCACACAGAAAAGAACACTGTGCAAAGAAGATTCCTAATAGCGCAGTCACTTAATTAAACAAAAATTGTAGCCAATTCATTAATTACTTAATTCTACATATGAGTCAAAAAGCTTTGTGAAGTATACACTCATTGATGCACATGAGTCACAATAGATATCACCACAAAGGAGACATTCCTCCCACATGAAAGAAAATGGGAAATGAATGCAGGAACTCTTATGAATAAACAAAACATTTTAAAAATCTGCACCCAGATTAATTACAGCAACTTTTAATTTGATCAAATCATCTAATTGACTAAAGGCTGCAGCCCTTGTTATTTAGAACAAGTGCTGACGGAACAGCAAGTGTTCTTTACATCTTTCTTGTGAAGTCCTGTCTCTTCAAACTATGGACCCAGAAGAGAAAGGGAATCAACAGCATTGCAGGAGAACAGAACAAGAAGCTCTGAAGAATAGGATGTCTGAAAATGTCTTCATGAGGCATGGAGGGTTAACTTGGAGGAGATCTCACAAGAATGTATGTGAATGGTGAATGGGTCCTGCTGGCATTCGAATGTTTGGGGATAGAATAAATAACTTTAAATACAGTATGGCCCTTTATCTGTGAGAGATATATTCCTGAACAGAAGTGTGGACAATAGTGAACCCTATTGAAACTTCTGTTGAAAGTTACCACAGTCACCCTAAAGCATCTAGAAAATGGCTGAACAAAGATCTCAACCCTAAGTGTCCTTGTCCAGGATTGTAATGACTATGCCACACTGCCTCTTTTTATTCAGCAACTGTTCTTGGCAGAAAACTATATTTTTATTATTCACCCCAGCCTAAAGAACCAAAAGATATGGGGCGGGGGGGGAGGGTCTTGCCCTAAACTATTCTGTCTTCCTGTTGATAACTTGGTGATTCCGCAACCTGCAAGAATATATATAGTGATATTTCTGACAATGAATTACAGACCAATCTGTCATCTTAGCCACCTTATCACATTGAGAAATTTCCCCATCGTAGAACACTTCTGCCTTTGTTTCAAGCATGGAGATACACTGAGGTCATCACATGAGATAAACTACTTCTGGCCATCATGCTTAGCCCTCTTTGGTTGAAAAGAGGCAGAAGTGTCCTGAAAGGAGGGGACTCTGGGAATCTAGCTCATCTCATAACAACATTTCCCCCTTATAGAACACTTCAGCCTCTTTTCAAGTATGGAGAAGCACGGAGCTCATTACATGTTCCGCGATTGAAAAGAGGCAGAAATATCCTGAAAGAAAGGAACAATGAACACAGATCAACAATCATGTACAGAGTGCCTACCTCTTATTGTTCTTTACCCCCATGTTTACAACTGAAAAACAGGTAGGATAGGAACCATCCTGTTTCATTGCCTGTTTCCCATTCTGTTTCATTGCCTAACTGTCAACAGTCTCTTGTATCATATGGGGTTTGGTGCAGAAAAATATTATCCCATGAGAAGAAACTGTTTTAACATGGAGCACTGTCTCTTATATCATATGGGGGTTGGGGCAGAACAGTATTATCCCATGGAAATAAATGGTTTTAACCTGGAGCACTGCCTCCTGTATCATATAAGATTTGGGGCAGAACAATATTATCCCATGGAAAGAAATGGCTTTAACACGGAGCACTATCTCTTGTATCATATGGAGTTTGGGGCAGAACAATCTTATCCCATGGAAAGAAAACGTTTTAACCTGGAGCACTGTCTCTTGTATTATATGGGGTCAGTCTCCTTTATTGTAAAAGGCTTTTAGCAAGGCAAGGGATCTTTTGGCTTTTGGATATTGTTGTTTCTCTTGATTTTAAAAAAGTAATATTGACCGTGTGATGAATATAAAATGAATGTATTGCCACCTCTTAGGTTTCCCCGTGTGAGTGTGATGGGGAGGGAGAACTCAAAATGGGACTGCTCACAATATAAGAGGGGTGATTCTTATATACTAAAAGGATGATCACTCCTGCTTTCCCATCTCAGAGTGACGAGATCATAAAAGTGAACACTTAATTTCCCGCCTGTGGTAAGGAAGATTTCATGCCTATTATGATTCACATACAGGTATACATGATGTTCACTTAGTGCATTAACAACAAAGTTACCAATAAGTTAGAAATAAAAGGAAGAACAAATAGAAATAAGAGATATTATTTCAGTTACATTTCCCTTTGAGTTATGTCTAATGCACTTCCCATATGTGAGAGATCATCATAACTGAATTTATGGCCAAACAAATGATAAATCAATGGAGTTTGGGACAGCTACAAACACAGCTCTCAAGTCCAAAGGCAACATAGCTCAGTTACTAGAGTCTAGGGATAGATGTTTTGGAAAAGGCTTTTACTGTGCAATCACACTGACATATTCATGGAGGTCCAGAACTGTGTGTTGGCGCACACAGTCCATTCATGCTCACTATATACCTCCCTTCATATGAGTATGGGTATGTGTGTATGTATTAAAGGCACCTGTTGATTTATGGCAAGTCCACAAATTTCATAGGGTTTTCTCAGACAAGGAAAACTCAGATGTGATTTTGCCAGTTCTTTCCTCCAAAATATAGCCGATAGCACCTGGTATTCATTAGTAGCCTCCAATCCAACTACTAACCTGGGTTGACCCTGCTTAGCTTACAAGATCAGGTACGATTTGCTACCTTTAGTGTATTTAGGCATATAAGAAAGGAATATCCAAACCTAGAGCTATGATTTTTTTTCCTCTTTGCAAACAAGCCATGATTTATAGGTGAACAACAAATCCAGGTTTGAACCAGTTTATGATCTTGGCTTGTTCAGATGCAATCATCCAATTTCTGATGTTCACAGAAAGCTCTGATTTTTCCACTTTGCCTTCCAGGTTGTATAAAGGGGGGATTAATTGTTTGTGGATACAGTTGCAGTTCAACAATAACTGGTAATTGTTGTCCACCTCTGTCTTGTGCTTTAATTTTTTTACATGACATACGACCATGACAACTGTGGAGATAAGTAGTAATTAGATAAGCCTCTGGCCTGATGCAGCATAACAATGGATATGCTTTTAAATTAGGACCTATGGAATATTTGCTCTCATTTCCCAACAGATTCCCTAAAGACTATCTTGTATGACCATATGAAAGAGACTTTTCTAACCATACCTGCTGTGCTGCTGACCAAAAAGCATCTTCCAGGTGAGTGGCAAATCCTTCACTAAGCCATTCTTCTGTCCAGTCACGTGCCCCAATGGCCAACCCAAACCAGGAATGAGCAATTTCATGGCACAAGCGTGTTCCACAGAGATGGCTTCCTCCAAATAATGTACTCTGGGAAAGGAAGATGATGTGTGGGCTGCACAATATGAAAGAAGGACAACACACATTATGGACCTGTTACAACATGCTATGGCAATATGTAGACTTTATTATCCTTGTCAGCCTGTTATTACAGTATGCAGGCTATGTCATGACAGTTAGGTTTATAGCTCAGACATTTTTAGGAATTAGGTTGCACTTTATTGTTTTCTGGCTCAGATTCAAGTTAAATATTCTGCCAAGCATTTGTTTCATATTCAATCATCAAACAGCTATTACCTGTAATAAGTAACTTAAACCAAAGTTTTATATTTTTCAAATTACAAGGATGATTTATTTCAATAGAAGCATTTATGCTTAAGCCAAGATAATAAAAGAAAGGTAGGTGTGAATATAGATCACTGGTATTTTTTGACTAACTGATCAAAGCAACCAAGAAAAACAAAAAGGTAAAAAAAAAAGGAAGGGGAGTCAGTATTCAAAAATAACATTATAATGTTGAGGACTATAAGCTGTCAGGACCAAAAAGGGGAGCAGCAAACCCTTAATGAAACTAAAACAGGCACTAGTATTAAGAAAATATCTGTAGGTTATAAAACACATTTGTAGGTGAATAGACCCTCAGATTTATATGGGACTCTATTTAAATGAGTAAATTTCCATGGTATGTATGTTGTGTGGGCAGGGGAGCTGCCACTATAGCATGACACAAAGTAGAAAAGTTGCAGGTAGACCAGCTAGAGATTTCTTACAAAATTCTAAATCAAAACAAAAATCCTTCTCTGCCAAGCTTGCAACAGTTCCCGAGGTCATATAACATAAGACAAAAGAGGCTTTGGGGACATAAAAAATACCACAAATATAAAATATCTCAGAGGTTTAGCAGAAGTGACTACATATGAGGTATCTCTGATGAAAAGCAAGTTATTTAAAGACCGCAGCCTTGACCTATACCATCCTTCCAAACTGTTAGATCAATGTCCCAGGCCCTGTTTAAGTGGCTCAGTTAAAAGCAGTTTCAGATATGAAGGGGAACGTCTTTTTGCTGGTGGCTCCATATTTGTACAACTTGATTCTTCTGGAGGTATGTGAGGTTTCACCACTACACTCCTTGAAACAGACCTATTTGGTTATGATTCCTTTCTCTCAAATAAGGGTGTTACCAGATAAATGCTGTGGTTTTAAGTTTAATTGTTTATTTTATTTTATTGTTTTTACTGGCCTACATGTGACCTATTTTTGGTGTTACTGCTGACTCTTAATAACTATTATAATAATGGTTTAAAAATTATTGTTGAATATGTTAAGCTTGTGTTGGAAGCTATGGAGAGTTTCAAAAAAGGCAGTATAAAAATACCTTAAATACATTAAATAAAATAGTTGTTGTATTTACAGCATTTTTTTTCTCTGGCAAGATGTGGATCCAGAGCTTACACACGGAGGGGCAGGGGAATGGTAAACTTTATTAGGGCCTGGATGACCAGAAGGACTTGGTATTCTGGAGGAATTTAGCCCTGACTACAATCTATATTACTATGGGAAAAGAAATTACAGATAAACTGTAGATAAGGCCCGAAGATATTTATGTAACCTTGTTTCTGTGTATCTGTATAAATCCTGTTAGATTTGCTCAAGCCAATTAGATTTGCTCACAACTAACCCAGACTACAATCTATATTACCATGGAAGAAGAAATTAAACACTAAATGTAGATTATGCCTGAGGATATTTATAGTGCCTTGTTTCCTTGTATCTTTACAAATCTTGTTAGATTTCCCCAAGTCAACCAGATACCATCTCAAGAAACATTCTCCTAGCTTGCTCCCAATCTAAAAAAAAAGAAAAAAGAGTATGCTTGTGAACACTCTATTAATAGAGACTAAGGACTTGTCTACACTGACAAAAAATAACCCTGATACACTCTGGATGGAAGACTTCATGATGCAGTTATTTCAAAGGAGTATCCTGGGTATTTTTGCTTTAAACCAGCATTTCTCAACCTGGGGACCAAGATCCCTTGGGGGGATCGTGAGGGGGTGTCAGAAATACCATCAGAAAACACAGTATTTCCTGTTGCTCATGTGGGTTTTATGTGGGAAGTTTGGTCCAATTCTATCATTGGTGGGTTTCAGAAAGCTCTTTGATTGTACATGAACTATAAATTCCACCAACTACAGCTCCCAAACATCAAGTCGGTTTTCCCCCAAAGTCCACCAATGTTCACATTTGGGCATATTGAGGATTCGTGCCAAGTTTGGTCTAGATCCATCATTGCTTGAGTCCACAGTGCTCTCTGGATGTAAGTGAACTACAATTCCAAAACTCAAAATCAATGCCCATCAAACTCTTCCAGTATTTTCTGTTGGTCATGGGAGTTCTGTGTGCCAAGTTTGGTTCAGTTCCATCATTGATGGAGTTCAGAATACTCTTTGATTTTAGGTGAACTATAAGTCCCAGAAACTACAACTCCCAAATGACAAACTCAATCCCCCCCAACCCCACTAGTATTCAAATTTGGGCGTATCAGGTATTTTTGCCAAATGTGGTCTAGTGAATGAAAATACATCCTGCATATCAGATGTTTACATTATGATTCATACCAGTAGCAAAATTACAGTTATGAATTAGCAACTAAAATAATTTTAGGATTGGGGGTCACCACAACATGAGGAACTGTATTAAGGGACCGCGGCATTAGGAAGGTTGAGAAACACTCCTTTAAACTGACCCCCCCCCCCACTTTGTACAAAGTCAGAGGATACTCTGGAATTTCTAGCCAACTCCGGAGTATCCCACAGCTTTGGAGACGTCTAAACAGTGAGATCAGGTCTGATTCAGACCAGTCCTCTTCCCAGACAGGACAATGACACCGTCACCCTTTCACCCTTTCACAGTGCTTATAGTGCAAGGAAAGAGGATGGATTATGGTTATGTCAATGCTGTTGCTTCTACCCAGCTCTGTGTAAATTCCTGATCATAGCAGGCACCTCTGCTGGCATCAGAATTAGGCTCTCATGCGACCAGCACAAAGGAGGGGGAAAACTGCCCTTTTTTGTTGTGTGGATGTCCCTCCTGGTGACAGAATGGGGCACTGCACAATCAGGAAGAGTGAGGTAAATTGCGACCTAATTTGTGCTGGTCGCACAGTCACCCCTTTTCTCATTTTAGCAAAGGTGCCTGCAAAAACCAGAAACTGGCATAGATGTCTGTTACTGGCAAGGAGTGGCAGCAACAGTGACATCAAGAAGGTAAGATACATGCCGATGTTGCTGTCGTCCATCCGAAGAACAACAGCAGTTTTGGCAAGAATGTGCCAGATCTGGAACTGCACACCAGGCTAAACTTCCCAACAAAGATCAACCCTAACAGACAGAGAAGTCTGTTTTATGGGTTTTATATGGGTTATCATACTAAGAACTAAAAATCCAGGCAGATAGGAAAAAACAGTATTGGATCATAAGATCATGGGAGCACCTGATACTGCTTCCTCTGGATCTTAGAAAGTATCTAATTCACTCACAGTTTTTGAACGACTTGGGATAATGTCAACCTCACACTAGAACAGAGATTTATGGCAACCAGAAACATTTGTCCAAAGATATATATCTGTAGAGCCTGGGGAACTGGAAGAGGCTTCTGTAAATATCTACAATTGTCTGGAAAAATTACAGTACCTTGTGAAGCACCTGGGGGGTAGGATTCAAATCTCCTCTGACACATGTTATTTAATGAGCTAAAGGAAATAACCGCACCAAAGTTTCAACAAAGTGTGCAAATCCTCCATATCTTTTGCACACTGCCAGTGACTGTGGTATATGGTAAAAGAAGCTTCGGCTAGTTCTGTGTGTGTCTTGTGTACCTTCAAGCCATTTCTAGCTTAGCCCTCATCAAAACTATTATCATTTTGCAAAGAAGCAATGATGTCATCTAGCCATCTTAGCAAATGTGTATTAGAGAAATAAACTCTATGGGACAAATTCAAAATTTTGCAGTAAAAAGGGCCTGGGAAAATAAAGCTTTAATAAAGTTTAATAAAGTTAATTGGCCTAATTCACACCCATTTGGGTCCATTATTTTAAGGAATAAATCCCTTTTATCAATTCATACAAAATATGAATAAGGCCTTAGGTGTTCAAAGTCAAGTGTTATTATTAAACAAAGGTTGCAAAAGTAAATATTTTTAAGAAATGTAGAATGCATAACAGTATTTTAGGAATGAAAAAAGCCATGATTCATAAGCTGGCTATGTTATAAGTTTATACCAGCACAGAAGATAAAGCTCAAGCCCTGCTTGAACCCCTCCAGATGTTTTGGGTTGCTGTTCCCACCATCTCTAACCACTTACCATGCTTGGTGACTCCAATGGGATTTAGATTCTGTAAGGTTGCTGCAAGGCACAGGATGGACCAGTATGCTCTTACAGTCATCATTTTTTTCTATTCTGTTTTGACTGACAATTTCCCAGGCTCCCAGATCCTATAAAGACTAATCTGGTGGCTTGTCAATAATTTGTTTCATGAACTCAAATACAGCATTTTACTAAATGAATAACGTCAAAAAACATTAAATCATAGCTTTGCCGGCTATCTGTAATAGCAATGTAGTTAGCAAACAATGAACCATACATTGGATTTTCTCATGCTCTGAATTATACTTGAGGTCAAGATATTTTAAAATTGTATTGTATATTAAATTCAGCACGAAGAGCAAGAGCATGCTGTTCATGTAACGTACTGAGTTGGAAGTGTGATTTTATAAATGACATACAAAACCAGCATAATGAGATGGGAAGGGTAGGCAAGACTTAAAGACACCATGCAACAATATTTATGGGGTGCACAAATCTGGTGTTATTATTTTCCAATTTCATCTACCAATTTTTTCATAACACTTAATTTTAATATTTATTTTAATCAGTAACTTTTTTCTATAAATGATTCTATTGCTTTCAACAGTTTTTTTAAAGTTGTCTGCATAGTAGGCTGAGTTGATTTGTGATCAAAGACAAATGAATGGTGTACTTCTTGCTTGAAACAA